CCAGGACTTAAAACTAGAAAAACAAAACAACCGACTAAAGAACTTAGTGTCTTAAAATACTTCGATTTCAGTTTGCCTCGAAACTGACAGGGCCAAAAAAGAAAACTGGAGGGAACTAGGTTCCTACAGGAAGAAAACTCAGCATTAGAAGGCAAATGCTCTCCCCAGACTTAGCTGAACTGAAGAGGGTATCAGAATCCCAATAGGGTCTTGGGGTTATTTTGGGGAGGAGGGAGCAGCCCAAACCGAGAATGTCATTATTCCAAAGTTCAGGTTTTCTTGAATTCATTCTCCTAACTTTAATGCTTCACCCATTTTTTATTGTTTTAATGAAGAGATTATCAAAAGGTACAATCCTTCCCCATCTGCAGATATGGCTGCTTGTTTTAATTCTCTCTTCAATACAAGACGGTAGCTAAAAAGAAAGTCAGATATTTCCAAGTGGATAGGGGGATTTTTTTGCCTCTACTTTTTTGTATTTTATTTCTAGTTTATTTCACTGTTTGCAGAGAATATATTTATAGTTTGTTTTCATGTCAGAAGTTTTCTTTCTTTAAAAGCTTATTTATTTATGCATACAAGAGCTGAGGTACAGGGGGTGAGAGGCTTCACCAGAGACAAGTGGGGAAAGCAGGCGGATCTACTGAAACCCACTGCTGAGGGGGCAGCGGGGAGCCAGGAGAGGGCTGCTGCGCCCTGGGGTCGCCCCGGCTGGGGACTGAACTCGCTGCGGCGGCTTCACAGTGCTGCGCTCTAACCCGCATTGTACCACCAAGGAGGGCCCGCTAGAAATTTTCTTTGTAACAAGTGATTAATTTTTATGAAAGCATTATGTTCAATATTTACAAGGTATGGGGTTTAAAATTTTGTAATGTTAAGAGAAAGAGCAAATTTTTGCTTTTCTAGAAGTAAAAAAGTTCTTCCCTGTGGCCCTAGGCAAGTTTTCTAATCTGTCTTTCAAGGCCTTTAAAGGACACATTTGATGCTTCCGACTGGAGGTCACCTCAGCACGGCCTAGAGGCTCTCTCAGGCCCGCGGCCCTTGCATCTGTGCTTCTGGAGCCAGGGCCCCAGCTTTGTTCTGAGCAGCCCCACAAGGGGCCCTCTGCCTGGGAACTGCCTCGCTGGCTGCACCTCAGTCCCTTTTCCGTGTGGCTCCGACCTCCCCCTCACTGCTCATTCTTTGCTTTGCCAAGGGCAGGAAAGCGCCCTGTCTCCCTGCCGGCATTCCTGTGTCTCAGGGGCGGCCACTGTCACAACTGTCACATCCCTCTACCTGACATAACCAGAGGCAGACACCCTCACAACTGTCACATCTCTACTGCAAAATGAGCTATCATCTAATGCTTAGGTATTTTCCACAAATGACACCAATACTACCTCACAATAAAACATAAAAGTTAAACCTGGAAACCACTGAGACAACTATAAATCTCTTTCAGTAACAGGATTTATAAGTGAAAAATGTGGGAAAAACCTGCTACAGATGACTAAAGACTAGCTTCCTACATGAAGAGTTCTTGTTACTCAGTACGACCAATGAGGGGGCCTCCCTGGCGATGCAGCAGGTTAGAGCGCAGCATCATGAAGCTGTCCGCAGCCCCTGCAGCACGAGTTCGGTCCCCGGCCAGGGAGGGACCCCAGGGCGCAGACGACCTCACCTGCCCCCACTGCTCCCCTCAGCAGTGTGTTTCAGTCAATCTGCCTGTTGCCTGTTCTGCTCCCTGCTCTCTCTGGTGAATAGTCTCCCCCCCACATCTGGCCTGTACCCCAGTTCTTGTAAGCCTAAATAAGTAAATCTTCAATAAAATGTAAACACAAAGGCCGAGCTAGGGCAGCGGCACAGGTGGTTAGCGGTGGTGACTACTGACGCCAAGCGGAGCGGGGCAGGCGCCGCCTGCGCCATTAACTCACCATTAACTTACCGACACGACAAGCTCACTAAGTTACCCGAGTCTGGTGCCTGGTGCTTAAGTGCTCAAGAAATGGCAATGTAAGTTGTGGCTAGTGAGTCTTCTTGTTGTTGCTGTGAAAAACTACCAGGTAGCAACGGTAACAACCACTGTCACAGTCCAGGAATTATACTGAGGAAAAAACCCCAACCTCAGGTTACACACTGCCGATGCTGTGTGTGGAACAACGCCGCGGAGGGAAGACCAGCAGCGAGGGCTGGGCGGCCCATGAGCGGCCGCGCGGACGCAGGCTGTGCCGGCCTGGACGCTCCGGCTCCCGGCGGGGGGCGTCGGGCCGTGACACACAGGCGAAGTGGCACAGAACACGGGCCTCAGGCGGGCCACGCCCGTCAGGTTCGCCAGCGGCAGCGGGGATGCAGGGGTGGGGGGCCCTCGCCACCCCTCTGTGGCTTCCCATGAACCGACAGCGACCTCCAACTGGAGTCCACGCCAGTTAAAGGTGCTCCAACGGCGGGGAAACGGGCAGCCATGGGAACGCATCAACGCAACCCCTGCCCCGCGCTGGGACAACGCAGCCAGCGCCCGCAGCGGCAGAGTCCTCCCCCCACCGGCTGTGCCCGCTGAGCGCAGGGATACCTCGGGGCCTGGCCCCGGTGCCGCCCACAACGGGCAGGGCAGGTCCCCTTCCAGAAACCCACCTGAGCCCCCGCGCCTGCCCTGCCGGGGGTTGGGGTTTCACTGCAGGCAGCACTTGAAATGCCTCAGCCAGGGCAGCGAGAAATCAAACTCGGAGCACAGCTTCCCTCAGAGTCAGGTCGATGCCCCGCAGAGCCGCATGGGCTCACTCTGAGGTGTGCCTGAGCTTCCCAGCAGGGAGGCGGGGAGGGAGGGCCAAAGCGTTCTTTCAAATATCTTCCAATTTAGATAACCCCCAGGAAACTGTCCGACTCATCTACAAAAACCAAAACCCAGACGGCCCAGGTAAGCCACAGACCAGGTAAGAGGACCTGCCTCTGCTTGCTTCACTTACCTCAGAAACACCTGCTCTGAGCTTGCTCTCTCTGAAGCGCATCTGAGAGAAGCGCACAGACCGCCCTCGTCGTGCCAAGCACCTACTGCGCGCCCAGGCCCTCTGCGTGTCGCGCTGTCCTGGGTCCCCCGTGGCTGCCGGCTCACATTACAGCAACAACACACTTAAAGCTGAGGCATCACGCCGTACCGCCTTGACAGACGTGGCCACTGGTGGCAGCCCAAGGCTGCCCCCGAGGGAGCAGGTGGGCGCAGCACCGATGCAAGGCTCAAGGCTCCCGAAGAGAATGGCTTGAGCTCCCCTTGCGTTCCCCGGTCTCCAGCTAGTCTGGAGAGGAGGTGGGGAAGTAAGCGCGGAGCTGGGAAGACGGTCCCCTCCCCTCTGGACTCTGGGCTGGGACCCTGCTGCTTCCCCAGAACCCAAGGCAGGGACTGCAGCACGCCCTACACCTCAGTCTAGACCCTCCCTACTCCTCCACCAACGGGCTGACCAACCACATGGCAGGAGACTGAGGTGCAGTCTGCTGGTGCCTGCAGTGGGTGGGTGGAAGCAGGAAGTCTCTGAGCTCAGGTTTTAGGGTTACCAGTCTCATCCCCCACCTATGCCCAAGGCTCAGACTGGCAAAAACCGCTTGAACTCAAATAGGAGGGTAGTGCCCAGCTGTGACTTCAGAACGGGGTTCTCACCACACCAACTACATCATGGCCCTCATGGGCAAGAAAACAGCCTGATGTGGGGGTAGGGGGGGGCTAGACCCTCTCCCCTACCCAAAGAGGGCAGCACCAGAGAGCCAGAAGGCGCTACAGGAACCACCCAACCAAACCAAACCTGTCTGTGAATGTTTACAGAGGCCTCTTCAGGCTGCATAGGCAAGAGGGGGTGAGGTGCTGAGGTTCATGGCTCTGGCCTTCGGAACTGCCAGCCTTGTAAGTGGACACTGGGAAGGAGAGGCTGAAGCAGCGTTCCAGGTGAAGATGTCTATGCCTCCCCGTCCAGGAAGTCCCTGGACATTGACCCTCCACCCAGGGCAGGGAAGTGGCAGCAGCCCAGGCTCCAGGGGGTTGTTTCTAGTGGGTGGGGGGTAGCCCGCGGGGATTTCCTCAGTCCAGGGAGGACTCTGACCAGCCCTGCAGCCACTTCCTCAGGCAAGGGGAAGACAGTGCAGGTCAGCAGGGGCAGCAATCCGGTGTCCCTCTCTTTGGGGGGACATTAACCACCCCTCAAAATTCTCTCCTACTCCAGCCAGAACTCCTGGATACCTTAATGAATTTGGAGACCATTCCAGGACAGAACTGGGATTCTCTGTCCAGATTCCCAGAGATACTGAAGGGCTGCGTTCTGAGCTTGAGACCCCAGGAAAGACACTAAAGCCCAGAGGGTATCAGGATTCTTCTATTCCAGTTTCCCTGAGGGGAGACCCCCAAACCTCCTGGCCCAACTAGACTCTACAAAGAGCACGTCTCTGCCCACAGCCTGCCTGTGAAACAAAGATCGCAGGTGGTGGCAGTCTGCAGGCCCAGCAGGAACTGGCCTAGCCCTGCCTGGCTGCGCCCCTCCCTCCCTCGCGCTCACTCTGCGCCTCCTCACTGCTCCTGCTAGAGGCCAGGCTGCTCCCGCCCAGGCCTCTCTACACAGGCTCTGCCACTGCCGGAAAGGCTCTCTCCACCCCTCACCTCTCTGCCCAAACACAACCGCCTCAGAGACCCCCGCCCTGGCTTCGCCGAAGCTCCCTTCACACGCTCTGCAGCTGACCCCACCGAGCGACCCTCAAGCCACGCCGTCTGCTGTCCCCTGCCTAGTCATCGTACCCAGGACTGGACAGCTTCCTTGACCACTGGTTTGTGTGAGACGTCCTGGTTTGAACACTCAGAGACCTAGACGCCAGGAGCCCCCACTGTTCCCAGCAGACGTGAGCACCACCCTCCAGTTACTGCGCCCTCCGTGGGATCCTGCATCAAGACACGCCACGGCTCTTGGTTCTTGGTTCTGGGCTGCCCCATCCGGGATGGTCCCAGGTCACGCTCCACCGCCAACGCACAGCCCAACACTGGCTCCTACCTGAGCTTCCAAACTGGGCGCTGGCCAAAGAGGCAGGTCGGCCCTTCCCATTGGCCACAGGCAGCGGGAACATCTGCAGGAAAGGAAACAGGGTGAGGGGCAGTATGGGCGCAGTTCTGCGGTGGGTCCTGCCCCTGGGCAGACTCCAGGCATCAGAGTCCCATGGCCCGGTGGAAGCAGCAGACGAAGGTCCCCCAGAAAGGTACCCCTGGGGGAACCAGCCCAAGGAGTGTATTTCCAACAGCACCCAAACCATTTTCACACTGTTTCTTTTGTTGGGGTTGGGTAAGCCCAGTCACCAGATACAATCTATCTGTCCTCCTGAGAGACACAAAGTCTTCCTTAAATTTCAACTTCAAGAATATAAAACCATTTTCGTTCAGGAGGGCTCGGGGTACAGGGCACACTGAGTCCGGGCAGACACTCAAACTCTGCTGGCCACAGATGACCAAGTGTCGTGACCCTTCCTGGGAACCGCAGCCCACACTGGCCGTCGGGGGCGGGCACCATCACAGGTGGGACAGGTGACCTGGCCAAGTGTCCCCATGGGCCAGCCTCTGCTCAGAAGCCGCCCAGCACTCTGTGGCGGTTTGATGCCCACCCAGAGGGAAAGCAAGACAGAATGGGAGGACGCTGCAGGGACGAGGAAAAGGCTAAGCCTCGCGCCCAACACAACTGGGTGGTTCTTCTGGGCTCAAGAGTGTGTGACCGACACCCTGTCCCTCTCTCCCAGCTCACCCATACCCAGGGTGTTAAATCCCTCAAGATTAACAGCTTAGCAGCATTAACTGGAAAAACCCAACAACAAACCCTTCTGCCAAGGAAAAAACAAAACATGTCCCTGCCCTGCCCCAAGGCCTGGGTTTTACAGGTTCTGATGCGGCCCAAGCGATTCAATGTAGCAGGTTGTGGCACAGCGGATGGACACCCAAGCCCTCTGGGCGGCAAGAGGGACCGTCCGGGAAGTGAGCCCTGGGGTGCCCCTGCTTTCCTGGCCACGCACGCCTGGACCTGCGGAGCTCTCGTGCGGCGTGGGGTTAGGCCAGAGGCAGCGGTGCTGCAGACTGCCCGCTCGGGGCCCAGCTCCTGGAGCACTGTCGCCAAGATGGGCAGCTGCCCCACTAGGGAAACTGAGGCCTGTGCTGGGGGAGGGGCCAGCCTGAGCCAGGACCAGAAACAAACTAACCCTGGGCCTAAAGGTCAACATCCCAATTCATAGGGGACGGGGGCTCCATTCCCCTTCTCGTCTGCTTCCAGTGTCAGCCTGACGTGGCACTCACCACAGGGGGACTGAGCGGTCAGCCCAGAACCGCTGTCCCTCAGAAGCTCAGCTCTCCGCAGTATGAGATGCTGTGAAAACCCAAGGTGGCAGGCAACCTGGGCACAGCGCGGCCTGTGGGCACTGCGCGTGGCTGAGAGGGCATGGCATCCCACTGTGGTTGTCTGGCTGGTCACAGGTCACGCTGTCCCTGCCCCTGAGCCCCTTAGCCTCCCCTGCAGGCCCAGGACCACCTCGGGCTAACACGGGATCTGCCTCAGGGCACCTTCGGCCGGGTCTCACGGGCACCAGTGACCAGGCCGCAAGGCTCTCAGGCGAGTGCCACAGCCGTGGTCCGCTCGCACTTGAAGCCCGAAGCACTTCCCTTTAAGGAGCTTTTGTCTCAGTCTGAAAACAAGTTGTTTGAGAAGAAACAAATGAACACAATTTCTCTGGGGGCAGTGGGAGGGCCGGAAGGAGGGGTGTGACCTGTAATGGAGAGGGGCCCTAGCGGGCCCTAACAGCCCGTGACTGGTTCTGATGCGCTCCTCGTTCTAATGAGGGGGCTGAAAACACAGCACTGCTTCCTCGGAGGGGAGAACTTGCGTGTCCCGCCCCTTTCAGTCTCAAGTCCCCCATCTGTGAAACAGGTCACTAGTTCTAGGTGGGAAACATTCTTGGATTAAAGAGAAGGTGGGCAGGTGGCTCAGGGCGCGCAGGGCGGCAGAGCAGGAGGTACGGGCGAGGCCACGTGCCCCCCTCCCCAACTCCAAGCCGCTTGGTTCCAGCCTAATGGTCTGTGACTTGTCAGTTTAACAAAAAACAAGCTTGGGCTACGGCCCTGCTTACTCATCCGGGGAGGCAAAAATAAAATGGGGCTTAAAAATACCAGCATGGCCCTTCCGGAACCGAGGCCCCTCTGTCCCGTGGGCTTTTTTCACACAAGCTGAGGCCATGTTGGTTTGGGGACTGTCATTAGCAGAACTCCGCCGCCTGGCCCCGGTACCAGCTGAGGGTCACATTCAGACCAAACGCGTCCTGCATTTGGGGATCACCCACTTAGGTTCCTCGGCGTGCTGGAAATGCCCACAGCCCGCACGCGGCACGGTGACAGGTGGTCCCTGGCAGACAGGGAAACGGAGGCCAGTTCTCCGTGCACCCTCCTGTTCCAGGCACCCTTCCTGTGGGGGTGTCACCCTGTCCGCTGAGCAAGCTGGAGTCCAGACCAGTGGAGGCGAGACCGGCAGATACTTCTCGCCCCAGAATCCTGGGCGTGGAGGGGACACGGAGGCAAGGCAGTGGGGTGGGGACATGGAGGAGAGGCAGCCGGGCTCACCATACTGAAGTCCAGGAGGTCGCTCAGCTCCTTGTCCGTGCCCACGGGCGCCATCCTCTGTGGCTGGTTCATTCTCCCACAGCACCAGTGGGAACCAGGGTGGGCGGGCGGGCCTCAGGCTAGAGGAGACCTGCAGCAGCCCAGTGGCGGCAGAGAGCAGGAACACAGACAGGGCAGAGAAAAGAGAGGTCTGAGTGACGGAGGGGAGCCCTCTGAAATGCCCCACCGCAGCGAGTGGGAAAGGGGTTAGGGCAGCCAGGATTCCTGGGGTTCTGAGCCCAGAGACCCCTCCCCAGAGCCCCTGGGAGTCTGAACACTGGGGGTGGGGCGGGGGCTGCATAACAAATACCCTGAACTCCCTCTGGATGATCCGGGATTCTAGTTGCAAAATACAAATTGGATAAAGAGTGGGAGCAGCCCCCACTGTCTCGCAGTCAGATCTCCCATTTCCAAGCACCCAGGTTTCCTCACCCCCCCCAGGCCCCACTCCTAGGAAAAATTGGTCAAGCCACCCCCAGCAGTTGTCAGTCTGTTGAAAGCCTAGTCACCTTCAAATTTAAAAACGAAGGAACTTCAGAGAGCGAAACCCCTCCCCCACTTCATCACTGAATGGGGGGCTGGCACATTACCCACCAATACCCACAAAGCTCCCTTCCACTTTAACTCCACCCCCCCACCCCCAATATACAACCCGAGGTGGTGGTCCTACTCTAAGTATCCGGCAATTATTCTGAACCAACTTTGAAAACACCCATTGTCTCCCACCCCTGGGGAAGGGGGTCCCAAGACCAGTGCCCCCCCCACGCATCGTCCCAGGGGGCTGCATCCTGAATGGGGGTAAGGGATCCACCTGCCAGGTCTCATCCCGCCCCAAGAAAAGGGAGCGGAGCGGTCCCAACGCCGACAGCAAAGACCCTCCAGCTTCTCCCAGGCTCCGCGGCGGGGGCGGGGGCAACCCAGGAGAAACCGCAGGGGGGGGATTCCGAGGTCGAGGAAGACCCGACTTCAGAAGCGGAGAAACCCCCCCTTTGTTTGCCAACTAGAGCCGAGGTGTGAAATGGATGCCCCCGCGCTCTGCCACCCCACCCCCGCTAAGTTTTTTCTTTTTTGAAGAGCGTGTGAAACTGACTTTTTTGAGGAGTACGAAACCGCTCCTTTTTTGTGGGCAGCAGAAACCGATTTTAAGACAGGCTGTGGAGGGGGGTGGCAGAAGCAGGTTTTACAGAGGGCTCAAGGGCTTCAGGGATGTCACTAGGACTTTGGGGGGACCCGAAACGCACTCGAGCACGAACCGTCCCTCTTTCAGGGGGGAGGGGAGGGAGGAGGCCGGGAAACCAGCCCCCCAGCCCACAGCCGGTGCAGGCGGCGCGGCCCCGGGAGCCTTTGAAGCCCGTGGCGCCCCGGGCCGCCACCACTGTTCTCGCCCCGAAGCCGCGCCGCCGCCTCTCCCCGCATTAACGCGGAGCAGATGTTCCCCTCGCCCGCTCCCCAGCCCCCGGCCCTTCGACCTGAGCCTGCAGTTCGCGCGGCGGCACCTTTCCGACAGACAAAAGGACTCTCCCTCCCTCCCGCGCTCCCCTCCAAACTCCAGCGCCCGG